ATGTTGCCACTCGAGTCGGTATGTGTGCTTGCTCACGTGTGTGTGGTTTTATGTTTTGCATGCTTGCTACATTGCATTGCATATGTAGCATGCAGGCTCGCAGCTGCCTGAAGTGTCCGGCCATCGGACAAAACTTTTAAGAACAGGCCCCTTTCGTGTAAGCCCTCTAGACGAGGCTCGGGGTCCATTAACCTTTGTGGAGTTTTTAGCTCCTCTCACTTCATCCCCGCTCGAGATAGGGGGTGGAGTGCATGGTTTCCAGGCGGGCATTTCCTGCAATTTTGGCTGCTTTTTGCACCTTCATTGCTATACAGATGTCGACAGACTCTCCAGAGGGAGTTTCATCTTCGCTTGCTTCGACCATTGTTGTTAAGCGCTTCCAGAAGAGGAATTTGCCAGTGGCTTCATCGCAGGCGGCACCTGCTCAGGAGTCCATTGCTGACCCGCTTCAGCATGCATTGTCGAGTTTTGCATCGGGTAGTGACAATCCGATCTCTGCTCCGGTTCATTCACCAGCACACGACAGCCCGGAGCCTACGGTTTTGGATAGTGCTGCAGCACTTCATGAGACTGAGCAGCCTGGCAATGCATCTGTCATTTCGGATGGTGATGACGATGTTTCCATTGTCGATCCGGACATTTTGCCACCGTCTTACGAAACTGCCTTCTCAGTGCAGTCCGAACCGCCCTTGGAGGAGGATTTGCATTCGGCTCAGCTGCCTACGGATTCTTCGTGGAGCCATGTTCATTCTGGTGAGCTACCTTCTGTTGATAGTGGTACAGAGCGCCATGCACTGCCTTACCTGCAGGATTTGCAACCTCCTACATGTTCCTTTTCTCCATTGAGGCGGGGACCGCTTTTCGCTGAGAGTCTTGAGGCACCATTGCATCCTCAAGTTCATTGCCGAGTGTGGTGACTCGGCCAGCCCCCAAAGCGAGACCCTCAGCTTGGAAGCAGTACACTTCGCGACCAAAAAGCTTGCACTTGCATTCGTCGAAGGATAGTGGGAGTTCCAAGCCCAGACCCTCGCCCCCGGCCCTGCGAGCTTCTGGTATTGTTGTTTCAGGAAATCCCAAGGCCAGGCCGGTGCCCCCGCAGCGGGGGCAGTGTGCTGCATATCCTTCGGAGATCTCGCGACAACTTGCATCAGAGCAAGGGGCGATTTCCAAGGCTGCTTCCCCTTGCATTGCTCAGGAGTCCAAGAGTCTTCTGCTGCCCCAGGCTACATTTCCACCTCGCAGGTCTGGTGGACTGCAGGTTAAACGTGGATTGCCTGCCTCGGAGCCTCCTCTGGAGTCAGTACCTAAGAAGACGGTTAAGCAGTCAGCTATTCATTCTGGGCAGTGGAGCAAGGCACTTACATTGTGGAAGGAGCTCTGCAAACTTACATCAGGTATCTCGTCACTGCTTCGAGAAGTGTTGGCTAGTCCCAATTCGGCAGGAGCAACTTCTGCGGCGAATATCAGATACAACGGCATTGCGATACATTGCTGTCTTGTGGGGTCTTTTCACGACCATTTGCGACCTCCAATTGCTGGTGGATTCCATTTCGCAGGTTCAGTTATTGGATGCTATACATGTTTTTCAACATTCGAGAAGCCGTTCTGCATCCGTCCATTCGACCAATGTACTGAAGTCTCTGCGATGGTTTTCGTCTACTGTGAAACCAGATTCATTTCCTTCGTTGCATGATGGTCTTTTTCATTCCAAATCTTGGCATTCTGCGACTTCCAAAAGGGAGGCCGTGCCGCTGCCTCTTGCATTCTTGCATTGGCTCGAGGTATCCCTGCTGTTGGGTCGTTTCTCGCCTCAGGATTCATTGTTCGCTGGCGCGGTGCTTCTATGTATCTGAAGCAGTCTGAGATTCGGTGATGCACAACACCTTCATTTGCAGGACATCTACATTGATGCGGACAGCATCCGCGGAGTTGCCTACCGCACTAAGACTAAACGATACATGCCTTTTGGCTGCCTAGTGAGCGGCCTTTGCAAACTGCCACTACATCAGTGCTGGGTGTGCCATTGGCTGCGAACCATGACATTGCAGGTTACATTGTGCAGGGATACATCCGATTTTCCTGACTACATTTTTATGTCCTTGGCAACAGGAGAAGTTAGGCCCATGTCATATGCCGAAACACTCTCGCAGCTTCGGCAGCTCCTGCTTAGGTGGGACCGTATCCCTCCCGAACAATGCCTACAATACACCTTACATTCGATGAAGGTCACTCTGCTTGCATTCTGGAGGCAGGCCGACTTTTCATTAGAGGCTCGACATTTACAAGGACACCATGTCTTTGCCCCCTCGAGTACGCTATATGGTCGTGACGACATTGCACCTATTCTGACAACTCAGTTTTCATTCGTTGAACGAGTGCATTCTGGCTGGCGGCCTCGTACACCAGTGCTTCGTGGTGTTTCATATGTTGCATCTGAGCCTGAGGTGGATTTGGCCTCTGATGATCTGGAGTGGGTGCCTTACATTGCCTCGCTCCCCTTCTTCCATATCTCATACCCAGGGACAGTGCCGGACTCGACTTCCTCGACGACTGGTGCCTCTGCATTGGTTGATTCAGATGTGACCTCCACTGCACTGACCAGAGTGCAGCATTGAGCCAGTTATTGACTGCAAACTTGAGACTTTTACACCAGGCGACACTCCACTTGAGGAGACATCTGAATCGGAAGGTTCACTCCATGGTTCCATAGGCCCTGCGGATGAAGTTACATTCCTGTGTGCAGAAACTTCGGATGTTTTGCATGCGTCCATTCGGGGCAAGCCTGCTTGCAATTGCAGAGGGACATTCCGGGTAATCACCCATCCCTCTGGGAAAGCTCGACTATGCCGAGCACGTGCATGTGCTGCATTATTTGCAGCCCTGGATTAGGCTTGCGACTGCCTGGTCTTTCATTCGAAAAATGGCCTGCATCTGCCAGACTTTATTGTTCCTCCCCCTTGGGGGATTCTTTTGTGCATTCAGTCTTCTGCATACTGTTGCTGAAGGGCGATTGGCTTGCATCTGCCGATGTTATGGTTTTCAGGCGAACACGTGGTCGAGCATGTTTTCTACGGCTTCACAGATTTCGCAGATCTGACTCTTGCATTCTTGCATGGCACTATTACCGGAGTACTGGACAGTTTCTTGATGAACTTCCACTTCACATTGCACTGGTCTTTATTTTCCATTGCATCTCTTTGCTCCCTGTGTCATCGCTACATTTTCCTAACTTGTGCGCAGCCATGGATAGTATTCGCGACCCCGCCGAGCTTAGAAGCGCTCTTCAATTCCTTTACAACACTGACACTCAACAGGTGGCTACAGTGATGAGAGCGGGGCCGAGCGAAGGACGCTCAAAACTTCTCATGGCGCTTACATTATCTACCGACTCTGCATTGAGGTTTCATTACGAAACCCCATCTGAGCAGGCCACGGAGAAGGGAGCTGGAAAAGGAAAGGAGCCTTCGGTGGGTCGTACCGACAACAGTACATCCACCGAGCCATCCTACACTATGCCTTCGGATTCCACTACAGATTCTTCGAAGAAGACGGTGGAGGTTCCACTAACTTCCACCTCTCCATCCGGTTCCACTACAATACCTGCCAGCTCTCCTGCGGGGTCGACTTCCATTCCAGCCACTGGAACAGGTGGCTCGACGAGACCCAAGCTGGACCTCGTCGACGACCCTACACCCAAGGTTCCATTAGACCTCAAGACGGTTCCAATGAGTGTTCGACAACTTAACTGTTGTCGAGCAGCTTGTCAACATCCTGGATGTCAAGCTCTGTGTGGATACAACAGCGAGATTCCATACGACTCGCATTTTTCGCAGCATTCCACTACACGCCACCTCTGCAAGGAGCATTTCAGGAATCGCTCCACATCCACTCCATAGTTCGAGACCAGGGAGGGCTCGGATACATGGCATTCCCAATGGGATTCGGACTGGAGCTGGAACCAGGGCTACAACAGCTGGAATTGGAGGTGATGCACCTGTCTGCATTGCTTTTCCATTGGGGATAACGACTTGGCGAGGTCATCTCCACTTGTGTTTTCTCCATCGGGAGTGGTGGCCCGAACATTTTAAGCACTGCCTGGGTCTGCATGCGAGACCCCTGGGCAAACTCGAAATCCCTTCGCTGCGAGGGTGCCGAAAACATTATGAGTGAGCTTGCATCTGCCTCTCTTTTGATGCACTTGGCGATTGCATCTGACTGATCGTTTGTCAGTCCTTTGCTGCTGTTGACCATAGGTCTGCATTACCAGTGCATTGCGATTGCACTCGCTCGTTGCTGCATTTTCGCAGCTCAAAATCAGAGAGCATGGTAACATGAGCACATGTTGCATTGCATCCGACACTCTGGTACATCAGGCGAACGATCACATCTCATTGACTTTAGGCCACACACCTGCTGCCTCGCAATTGCTCTCGGTGGATTCTGTTTTCCAGTTCTCCTGGCAGCTACATTTCTGCATCCTGGCCCAGGTTGAGTATGTCCACCTTGGAGAACATTTTTAAGGAGGAGAAGGTGCCAGCCGAGCTCTCAACGGAACTTTCGCGAATTCTCACGATTAACAGTTTTGCCTGCCTTACATCCAGCGCGGATCAGCTGGAGGAGGCCATTAGGGATGCAGTCCCTGGTACATTGCATGCATCTTTGAATCCGGTTTGCATTGCATGCCTGAAAGCTGCATACCACCGCTGCTTGACAAGTGTGGTCTCGGTTTCTGCATCCCCGAGTCCCTCCACACAATCCCCTCCATCGTCGCTCTCAGCTTCGTCCACATGGACAGACACTTTCCCGGCAAAGCTGGGACATGAGAAGGTCAGTGCATTGAAGACAAAATTTGAAGCCGATTATCCATCGGAGATTCTGGACCAGTCGACAATGCCTTCTTCTCGTTTGCTAGCGACAGTTAACAAACAGTGTCAAGAGAAGCACTACAGCTATGTGGCGTGGAAGCATCGCATTAGTGAAGAAAAGCTTGAAGATATGCATTCCAATCGCCCCAGAAAAGTTGCCAGGTTCGGCGACTTTATCTTTGATGAAGTTCCATTCCGCGAGATACCAGATTCGGGTATCAGCCAGATGTTTTTGTTACATTTGCTCGACCTCGTTGCTTTCGCATTCTGCCTTCTTGAAGCAGCACACCTGTCGTCTTTCAGGTCGTACAGCAAATTGTTCCTCAAGCTTGCATTCCAAAAGCAGGCTGGGGACTCAGGACTTCGCTCTCCGAATGTGCACGAAATGCAGTTGGCTGACAAAGAAGCATGGCGATGCATTTGCGACTTGGCCAACTCTGGTTGGACACTTGATGATGCATTGCACGAGGTGGTGCAAGTCAGGTGCATTTTGCACATTCATTTGCAACCCAGAGCTATGTCTGCCAAACCACGCCCTCCATTGAAGCCCCCTGGACCACCTACCATTACAGATCGCAATGGCAAAGGCCGGGACAGTAAGGGCAAAGGAAAAGGCCAAATACAAGACCAAGAATGATGGCCCTAAATGGTGCATTTCATTCATGGAGGCGGGGGTTCAGAAGCAGATGTGTAAACGATGGAATCTCCGATCAGGCTGCAAGCTCGAGGATTGTACATTCGTACACGGCTGCGCGATCGATGTCAATGGCAAGCCGTGTGGGAAAAACCACCCAGCTTACCTCCATAAGTCCTGAAGGGGCCCGGATGCCCAAGAGGGAACTGCATCTGGGCTGGAGCTTCCCTCACCTGCTGTACCCGCATCTGCCGGTCACACGTCTACATCCTCAGCTGAGATGTTGGAGATCCTTCAGAGTACATTCCTTCAGGGGATGACGAAATGGAGATCACATGCCATTTCCAGTACATCTCCAATTGCTGCTTATTACAATCTTGGTGCATTTAGCCAATCGGTACGATTGGGCTTGACAAATGCCACATATCAGTATCGAAATATTCTATGTCGCCTGAATTCTTGGCTTTGCATGCTTTTTCCATTAGGCACATGGAGCTCGATATGCATTTCGCATAATGAACTCCTTCGGTTACATCGTGACTCGACAAATGAAGCGAACACCTTGAACTACACCGTTACACTCGGTTCATTTACAGGTGGTGGACTACTGCTGGAGTCCGAATCTGGTGAACACAGCCATTTTGTCGAGGAGATGAATCGCAGCCTTAATCTTTGTATGGTTGATACTCGCGATCAGCCCCTTGCATTTGATGGCACTCTTTGGCATGGGACTGCTCCATTCCAAGGAGACAGGTGGGTTGTTACAGCCTACACTTGCAGAAATCTCGACAAACTGCAGGACACTGATACTCAGGCTCTCCGAGCCTGGGGTTTTCCTCTTCCGAAGTTTGATGCATTACCGGCAACTGAGGTGGTATCCAATCAGCTCTCGGAGTCTTCTGCTACTCCATCGAAATTCTGCTTGTGGCTTGGTTCCATCGCGCCATCGGCTAAGGACATGCTGTCACAACAGTCAGTTCCCTTGATTACAGTTGCGGATTTGCTGGATGTTCCATTACGAAAGCAAATCCTTCGTTGTGCGGCAGAAGGCATCTTCTCCACGATTTTCATTCGTTTTTCCGACAAGTGGAATGCCGACCACAATGTTTGGGTGCTACAGCTTTGCAAGCTTGCATTTTCCTGTGGAACGACTGTGCATTTGGATATCTCTGCCTGGGACAGGTGCTGGTACGATCCACTGTTCATTCACTGTGTGGCCACTGGTTTTCGTCATGTGGTACAAATCCCACCGTGCGCATTTCAGGGCTCAGCCGGTCGCCCGTGGATTATGGTATCCTCCTCGGAAGCATTTCCATCTCTGGGAGAAGTGTGCACTTGCAAATGCTGCTTGCATCGCTCAGGAGATACAGAATACACAGCTCCATTGGTCGCGGCTTTTGGCAAACTGTTCATGTCTGCTGAAGGTGTAGCAGGTGTGCCTAGAGCTGCATTTTCTGTTCAGGATGCCTGGAATTCCATTCCATGTAAGTCTGTTGACGAACCCCCACATGCATGGGTTGATGGTGGGGGTTTGCATAGTCGTCCTGACTGGAGTGGCAAAGAACGAGAAGGCAAGGATGTCATGCGAGATCTTCGTCATTCACTGATGTCTTTCTGTGGGCGGTCGCATCTTCCATCACGACTCAGGTCGAGACTTTTATCTCCAGATGAGAAGAGCATGTTTTCATCAGAGGACATCTCGGAGTTACTTTTTGGAAAATGGTTGCAGGAGCAGGGATGCAATTCTGTTGATTGGTCCATCCCGCCGGACCAACCTTACTGTCTCAGTGCATTGTCGGCGCTTTCCTCAGCTCTGCATGACTGTGACATGTCACTTTTTGGTGCATTACTTCAAGGTGTACCCACCGATTTCAAACAGGATATACCATTGTCAGGGTGTTTTGCACCGTCCGGCCGTACTGTGGAGGAAGATTCCCTGTCCATTTCTATGGAAAATTGGCAGGGGGCCGAGGCTGATCCACTCCTCCTTGAGGAATTGGTTCAAGTCGAGGTCGACAGTGGTTGGCTTCGTTGCATTGATTCATTGGAGGATGCTCGAAAGATTTGGCCGAATGTGGCCGTGGGGAAGTTGAACATAGTCCATTCTGCAGGTCGCAATAACTCTGCCTGTCTTATTCCAGAGAGGACCTCCCTACCTACACTTCAGTCTGTTCAGTGTTCTTGGCCATTACGAGGTCGTCGTGAGCCGGTGGCAGCCTGGTCCATTGATGTGAAATCTGCTCACAAGTCCATTCGAGTTCGAGAGTCTGAACAGGGGTTACTTGGCATCCGTGTTGGGCCCAAGCTGTTTTTCTATAAGGTCTGCCCTTCAGTGCATTCTGGTTCGCTCGACTGGGTGCATTCTTTGTACGTACATTACACAGGCTCATTTACATTTCCCATTTCCTGGCCCTGTACGTTGATGATTTCCTGGGGTACCAATCTGCCACTGTTGCAGAGATGTCTCTCTGCATTACATTGTGTTTTTGCAGTGCATTCGGTATTCCATTATCTTGGAAGAAACTCCAATTTGGGTGCTGCATTAAATGGATTGGATGGGAATTACATTTCGATATGGGCTGTGTTTGCATTCCCACTGACAAGCTGGAGAAGTTGGTGGAATACGTTTCCATGGCGCTGCGTGGCAAATACACGGACCGTCAAACATTAAGAAAATTTGCGGTATGTTACAATGGTTGTTCAAATTGTTTCCATTGGCTAAGCCTTGGCTACGATCATTGTATCAAGACCTACATTCGCCGAGGGCCACGAATTTCAGTCTCAGGCAGTCAGACTGGCAATGTTTCGTTGAGTGCCTCAGCAGTACCCTACATTGGGTCAAGCTCCCGCCTGGTGGCGCCATGTCCATCGGCAGCAAGGTGCTTGCGGTTCGCCACAGAAAGGTACATTCCAAGAAGGAATTGTTGAATTGCAACCTTGGCGACGGACATTTGGTTACGAATTTCGGATCCTGCATCAAAACGGCGAGCTCTGTCACACACTTCCAGGGACCTTTTACGTTTCTGGCTTGGCTGGGCTAAGCTTCCACCTCTGTTGCGAAGTCTTCGCCCTCAGCAACCCTTATCGGTGGAAGCTGCTGCAGATGCTATGGGCAATGGATCTACATTTGCGATTGGTGGTTACACTACTCTTCCCTCTGGGGAATACTGGTTCTCGGAATGCTTTTCAGTTTCGGATTTTGCATTTGCTGATTTACCTTTGAAAGCTGAGGCTCACAAAGACATCAGCTGCTATGAGTGCCTTGGTCAAATTGCACTCGTCTGGTTACTCAGTACATTGCATCCCATGTGCAAACTTTCCATCAAGCTTCGCACATGGTGTGACAACTCTGGGGCGGAGTCTGCATCCAATAAGATGTTCACGACTTCCTGGCCGTTCGCTGCATTCATACAGAGGTTGGCACTTCTTTCCAGTTTTACAGGTATACATTTGGATGTTCAGCATATACCAGGCGACAAAAATGTTGAAGCGGATTACTTGAGTCGCTGGAAGCCCCCTGCTACATTGGCCTCTCGTTGGAAACCTTCACTTCGGCGTCAATTTACATTGCGACAGCTATGGGGAGCAGCTCCCCAGCTGTCCATTTCTCCGAAGTCGTGGAAGCCTTCTTTTCCGCTTCCCACCTGCTCCATTCTTGGGGCGGCTTTGTAGCTTTGCAGTGTTTTCCAGCGAGTCACGCGTTTTCATTTGGCGGAATTGATGCGCGACTCACTTCCATTCACTGCCAGATTTCAACTTGGGGAAGAAACATGTGGTTCCATTATTCTGACCGATCAAATCGGTCGAACCTTACATTCGATGGACCACATTTCCCGGCAGTGAAAATGAAGTGATGTCCGAGTGTGAGCGAGTGTGT